CACATTACATTTTAATTCAGTGTTAATTTCTCCCATTTGCTTATAAAAGAAAACATGGTGCAGATCTTGTGTACTTGAAATAACTGTCCACACTTTCTCAATCCACAGTCACGAATCAGACACACACACACACGCACACACACCTGCCCACGCACACACCAGCATATACTGCTAAAGTAACAAGCCTTCTCTCCAGGCCTGTGCTGCCGAGGCTGGCTGGCCAGACTGCCTGCCTCCCTGTCTCTTTCTTTCTTAACTAGATTATTTTCATTAACTCTACTTTCTAAATCTTTCTTTACCTCTGTAGCAATTTGCAGCTGCATCATGTACTGACACATGTTTCCTGAAGTTCCCCAGCAGGCACTGAGTTTTGAAATCCAGTAGTTTCCAGTGTCTGGCCCGCACACCAGTATTTGATCCTGCTGTCCTGTCCTTTTCCTTCCTCCTGACTTCCCTCCCTCCAGGCTCTGTTCTGTGTCTCTTCCCTTTCTCTTCTTTATTTTCCCCTTTCTCTCCCCTTGATGGGATCTCCCTTCTTTCTTTTTGCTTGTCTGCCCCCTCTCTGTGTCCCTTCTTCCTTGAATGGTGACCTCTCTACAGACTGTTCCCAGCTGCTGTCGTTCTTTGATTCAACACTGAAGTACTAAGAGTTCATCTGTGCCTGGTGCTTATTCCAGGGGCTGGAAGACAACAGAAAATTTTAAAAAGACAAAATTCCTATCTTGGTGAAACTTATATTGCAGTGGGAGCAGGCAGACAACTACTAAAATAAACATGTAACATGCTATGTTTGATGAAAAGTGTTGTAGAGAAAAATAACTCAAGGGAGGGTGATAGAAAGTTGAGGCCGTTTAATGCTTTAAACAGGATGGTTGGTGAAGGTCTCTGAGAGGTGGACCTGGGTGCAAAGACACCCTTTCTTCTCACTCAGTTATTACCGAAACAGAGAAATCACCACATGCCCGTGCTGAAGACGATGCTGTAGATACACGGGCTTCAAATGCGTACATTGAAGTTCACACATTTCTTTAACCTGGGATGTCCCAAATATTTCTTTTTAGATTTGTACATATTTTGTTTTACTGATAGCTTATTTGATACATTAAGATACTATTCCAGAGAACAGGAATTTCTAGGGCGTATTGGGAAGGAAGAGTATGGCCATCCTATTGCATCTGAGCTGTGGGTCCCCATGCTGTCAGTGAGATGTGAAGAGATGAGGGAGAAGGATAAATGTTTGGAGGGAGGGTGTTGTAGGCAAACAGAACCGTAAGTGCACAAGTGGAAGCATAGTACCACTGCAGGCTGCTAGAAGTCATGGTAGTGAAGACCTGAGCGGGGAAACACGGTTCCATCACAAAGTCCCTCTGTGTGCAGGTACAGGCTGATGCCAGCTCTATGCCTACTGCCAACCACTGCCACCAACAGTCGTGGACAGAACAAGAGGAACAAAAGCCACAGAGCTGGTCTGAATCTCATTCCTCAAACATCTTTCCTCTTATTGTTTTCAAACTTTCTGCGTTTTGAAAGTTCTGAAATGTAACTCTTGTGCTTTCACTCCTCCCTTAACCATTCATCAAATCATCTTTCAATAGAGATACTTAAGTTTTGTGTCTTTGAGATTCCTTTATTTTGGGATATAAAGAAGCATATCCTACTGTACTTAGGAATAAATAGCTGCTAGGCTTTCTTTTTCTTTCTATTTATTAGGCTATGTTCCTGGGTCGAGAATAAGAAATAGTAAATCCTTTGTGTCCTCCCTCTGGGAGAAGAAAGACCACCTTATACAGCAACAACACGTGGTCTCTGTGGGGCCCATCATTCCCTGGGAGGCTTCCCAATCTAATAGGAGACTCCCTCCCTTTGGGAAAAGACAGCCTTGTGTTTTCTGTGTATGGTTCATTCCAAGTTACGCACATCCAAGCATCTTACACCATTGAACACGCTCCCACAATTCACTGCAGGCATTTGTGTTTTGGCTCCATGCATCCCCATCAAATGGTTCTTAGCCTACAGTCCTGACGGAGGCCCATCTGACCTGCCATCTTATTCTCAATATCTAGCTAACCCCTCCTTTCTTCTCACTCAGTTATTGCCAAAGTAGAAAAATCGCCATGTGCATGTACCGTACGTGGCTGTAGATACACAGGCTTCAAATGAATACATTGAAGTTCACACATTTCTTTAATGTGGGATGTCCCAAATACTTCTTTTTAAATGTGTACATGCTTTGTTTTACTGATAGCTTATTTATTAAGATGCTGTTTACTGAGAGCAGCCATTTCTAGGACATATTGGGAATGAAGAGTATAGGCATCTTGTTTTATCTGAGCTGTGGGTCCCCACACTCGCAGAGAGATGTGAAAATGGGTCTTGCTGTGAGACCTTGTGAAGTCACCACCTTCCTCTCAGGACCACCGCCATTCGATTATACGGTATGTGCATTCCTTCACGTGACCACGTGCCAGATGCAATAGAAAAAGGCATTTCAGACTGCCACTGTCTGCTTCCAAAACCCAAGTATCGCATTGGTTGGAATTGATGAAAGTAACTGTCACCCAGCCTTTGTGTCCTTTGGTGATGTATTAAATAGGGAAAAACCACAGGCTGAGAAGACATCAGTAAACAACCTAAAGGGGGTTTTAGATAGCAAATCAATGTGGAACAATGGATGTAGAAAATTACCAGGAAATGGATAATTAAGTTCCTTCCATGCTCTTTTGCAAAATCTCTGAGAATAAAGTCCCTTAGGACAGATACAGAGGAAAAGTGATGCCAATGAAAACCTTAAGGAAATGATTGTGTGTTGGTGCTTAAAGTAATGGAGTATTTGTGGTATCATAGTGTGCAAATGGAACCCACAGCCTCTTGAAGGGATTCACGCGTGGCCACGTCCGTCTTTCCATTCCAGTGGCGCTGGACTTCCTGTGGATGCAGCACCGTTAAGTCTAGTGTTCTTTCTAAAAGCATCGCACAGGTGCTTTTCAATCAAGGTGGAATGAAAGCCACCGGCTTAGGAATGAAGAGTGAATGAAGACCTCTTGCATTTGCCAGCTCAGCAGTTTCAGTGCTGTCATATGATCTTGTTTTCCCAGTAAGCAAAATGTGTTATTTTATCCTGGGCTCAGTGTTGGATATACTGAAAACAATGATAATAACCAGCAGTTACTATGGAGCACATACTGTGTCCCAGGAACTGTTGCGCACTTTATATGTTTTACCTCCTTACTGAGTGTATACGTGTAAAACAGCTCTTTATTATGTGAACAGAACAACTCCCCAATGTATGTGATAGTTGGGTGTCTTTTAATACATTTGTGTGTGTGTGTGTATGTATGTGTGTGTATATATATGTGTGTGTGTGTGTATATATATATATATAAAACAACTGTCCTCTCACCCCCCCATCCAACTCAATTTCCTTTTATTCTTGTGAACAACTTTCTCTACCTCTTCATTTATTTACAGAATGACAAGTATTCATAAAGCCAGGTATAGGCAAATTCTATCAGTTGGCTACAATAACTGGATTCATCTTGGGGGTAGTTTTATTTATTACTTTGCCCTCCTATTTCTGACAGGCTCATGAACCCCTGAACACTGGGGTCAGCATAGGCATCAGCAGCCTTGGAAGCCAGCACAGCTCTTTGGAGGCCCCATGCCCAGGGCACTACCCTTGCAAACTCAGACCTGTAAAGGGATGCCCTCTTCAGCTGCGTGAACTAATGCTGTTCAAATGCACCTTCTCACAGAACCTGTGTAGTAGCGCCGGGAGGCGACTTTGTCAGAATTGTACCCACATTTTACTAGGAAAGTACCAAGATGCAGAGAGTGTGAAGAACTTGCCCATGGTGGCAAGGATAGTGTCAAAGCCATGGCCTCTGTCGCTATCACCCTTTATTTTTCCTTCTCCACTACAAGCCCAAGTCTCCTGATACGACTGGGAAGCCTCACGGGGAGTGGGGTACCCCACGGAGATCATGTGTGTTGCTGTATAACTTCCTAGTTTGGGACGAAGATAAAATTGATGACTTCTTTGGCCCTCCCAGTCCTGAATCATCCAGATTCATTTCAGTAAACATGGAGAACACCACCGAAATGTGCTGGAGTGAACGGAGTGATTGTCTGTTTCCATGACTGATTTCAGTGTCTTAACTCCTTCTCACCAGTTCCATGACTGTGGGGCGTGAGGGACAGGACAAAAGAGTAGACCCAGTACCAGGAAGTTATATTGGGTTGCAGGAGTGCTCTGAGTCAGCGGGAGGAAAATGGTGAATCACCCATGCAAGCCCAGAATCCCACCCAAAACCATGCCCATAAATCAGACACATTTTATTTTAAAGAAATAACAAAAGTGGTTGCATGAGGCAAGATGTGGGAGTGAAAGACCGGACCTGATGATGAAAGCTAGGGAAGGGAATGTGAGCTGGTAGAGCAGTTCGGCAGCTGGCTCAATTATCAAGCGGTGAGATTTGCTGGCAAGAGTCAAATAAGGAACAAGAAGACAAATGACATGGGACAGAGAGAGCTCCACTGTGGCCGAGCTGACCTGCAGATTGGTGGAGCAGAGGAGGGGAGCTGTTGAGTTGTGTGGAGGGGCCACGTATAAGATAATACGAAGTGACTTGGCCGAAATGTGTAAGCACAGAAGGTTCGACGCTGGCATACACATTTTCTGCTACATAACATGGTGTCCTTAATGGCCATAACTGCTGAAAAGCACAGAGAGAAAGTGGATGTTATCTAATTTGGAAAATGATAATACTTTTATTCTCCAGACTGACAACATAGATGTTCCAACCCCCAGGGTCTTCCTCCCCTTGGCGCCTTGACCTACGTTCTTCAAGCGGGGACTTTGTTTCATAGCCAACCTCTGAGCCCATTCTTTCTTCCCCCAACTCCCTCAAAAATCAAATTACATTGTAATGATCTGTCCACCTTTGGGTGACATTCTACCATGTTCATCTGAGACTCTCTCCAGCATTTTTGTTTGTGTCCAGGCTTCCAGGAAAGCTGATGGGGTCTAGATGCACTTTTTATATCCCCCCAATGACAAGTATAGTGAAGGCCAAATGCTCAGTGAACAGTAACTCTGTGCCTTATATCTAGGTGGGTGATGGATCAACACTGAACTTTTTTTTTTTTTTTTT